CAATTTCATCCACTAGTTTTATTGTTGGAATGAAAAATAGCAAGACTTGCATTGGCTACTCAGAAAGTTAGTAGCCGGTGGTCATCGGCGTAGTTTAATTGTACAGAAATGTTGAATTGTCCTATGCAGATATTAACTATCCATAAAGTTTACCGTTTCTTTGTTATAATACTTCAATGTTACAGGAGTGATCTGATTTTTATATTTTCATTAAGAAGCGATTCCTGGAACATTTTCGTTTGAATCTGCGCTAGCCGTCCCTAATTTAGCAGTGTAAGACTAAAGGGGAGGCAGCTAGTCATCACCACCCACCGCCAACTCTTAGGCTACTGTTTTACCAACGAATAGTGGGATTGACCGTCACATTATAACGCCCCCACGGCTGAAAGGGCGAGCATTTTTGGTGGGATGTGGATTCGAACCCGCGACCCTCAGATTGCGAGTCGAGCGCCCTAACCACCTGGCCATCCCGGGCCGCCAGCCATCTTATGACAATTCTCTGGAAGATCTAAGAGAACATGCCAGGTTTGAGGACAATAGGTCCAGCGGTTCCCTGGTTATAAGTGATCACACAGATCTTTGTTAAATAATGGTTTAGGTTGTGATCCTACTATAGTGCAGCCTCTATTACACCTGTAAATACTAGTTATAAGCTGATATATAAATATGTACATATAAAACAATATTATTTAGTATAGTTCTGGAAGCATATTCCTGGAGGTAGTAATAAAAACTTTATGCGGTAAGTTTGTTAAATACTTTTTTTTCTTTAAATACCAGTTTCTACTGAATACATAATCTAGAATTCCATCATGGATTTTTCCGACTGTTGACTGCTATATTCATTAAACTACACCTATTAAAATAATTAAAAGATAATATTTTTTAATATTGAAGCTCTGTTAAGGCATATCTACTGTTAACAAATAATGTCAAAAATTCCTAGAGTATATTCCTAGGTGTCAGGTGATGAATCATGTGATATGATATTCAAATGTCTACTGTACGAGCATATGTCCACAAAAGCTGATTTGGTACCACTGACTTTGCAGGAAGTTTTTGCTAATAAGGCATATGACCCAGGACACTAAATTGAGTGAATGTTGAGCTACTGGGGTAATGTGGCTTATTCTTCCATTACAGTAGCTTCTGCTTCATCAACACTGCTTGGAGTGCATCACATTCTGACAACTGCCTTCCTACACCATCCCATATGTGTTCAATCAGATTCAAGTGTGTGAGGGTACTGATTAGTCATTTTGCTCCATCCCTTTTCTTCCAAAAAGTTGGTAAACGGTGGTGGGAGTACGATATCGTCGATCAGAAGAAAGTTCTGACTAAATACACTTGTATATGAGAACACTAACGGCTGTAAGGTTGCATCCCTATATTGTATGGTATTCATAGTGTCATGTCGTGGTACATAAAGGTCACTATGCAATCAGCGCTAAATGTGTGTGTATTTCCTCTATGAAAGTGGGCATGAATTTGGTCCTTTGTACTTTCTAAATGTATGTACACCTCGTATTTGGCCCTCTGTATTTTCAAAATGTAGGTATTATCGGACGATGTGTGGGCGAATGTACTGCTCACATATCACTCACTTTTCACGTTGCAGCCAGATACGAGGTTTATTCTGGCTGCAACTGGCTGCAATGTTAAAAGTGATTGATATGTGAGCAGTACATTCGCCCACACATCGTCGGGTAATCCACACGTTCTTTGGAGTGCCACAGAAGAGTTGTTTTGTGTGAGACAACAGATGTCATTAGTCGTGTGGCATAAAGACCAATTTTGTTTCTCACTGTTTGTATGCTAGTGTTTCGTCCAATTCCTGAGTGAAACCTTTGATTTTTGGAGAGCTGAGACCCGTCGGTAATTTCCAGGCCATATTATCAAATAGCTGTCATTTTGTAAAGTTGTTAATAGATATTCGGCCGTCTGTTCTGTGGGTCTGAAGGTGGGTTCTCATCCTACTAATCACACCCTGACAGACTTGAAATAACTAGTTGTATTAGACTGGCTTCAAGCCAATCTGTTGCATTTAGGAAACGTACAAATGTATTTGTTGGGGTCCTAGCACGCCCCACTATTAAAATCTGTATCTATTTATACACACGCACACACACTTTATTGTTGTTCAAACTCTTAACTCAGACCTCAATGTGTTTTCTTTACTTTTATACTCAGATAAAATATACATGTCGTATCATATGATAGGCCACGTGAAACTTGCTTTACATAAAAATGACTTCTGAGATGCTATTCATATTATTTCATAACAGCAGTTGTACCTTGTCATAGCTAGTATTTAGGAAACGCTGACTACGCCTTAATTATGTTTAGCAGTATACTGTAAATATAATTACATTTTTACATATTTTTGCTTAAGAAGTCAAATTATACACAACTCTTTCATATTTAAATCTTGTGTTACTAATCTTCAATGATTATAATATAGGTAAGACATTAACTAGTAGCACCTTTAAGTATATAAAAGCTAAA